TAAGAATGGACATTCATGTTCTGTCCCAAATTTTAAAGTAAATGCTTTCGGTTTTTCCCCATCTACTGTGAGGTTGGCTTTGGGTTTTTCATGTATAACCTTTATGTTATTGAGGTACATTCTTTCTATCTCTAGTTTCTTTAGTGTTTTTATCTCTAATTTTATCATGGGTGCTGAATTTTGTTGAAGGCCTTCTCTGCATCTATTGCGATGACTACATGATTTTTGTCCTTAATTCTATTCATGTCATGAATTACATTTATTGATTTCTGTATATTAAGCCACCCTTGCATTTCTGGAATAAAACCCACTTGGTTTGGGGTTTAATATGTTCTTAACATGTTGTTGAACATGATTTGCTAATATTTTTGCATCTAGTTTCACGAGGGATATTGGTTTGTAGTTTACTTTCCTTGACATGTCTTTATTTAGTTTTGGTATGAGTGTGGTACTGGCTTCATAGAATGAATTTGGAAGTGTTCTGTCCCTTTATATTTCATGGAATAATTTGAAGAGTACTAGCATTAGTTCTTCTTTAAAGGTTGGGTAGAATTCAATTGAGAATCAATCTTACCCTAGGCTTTTATTTGTGGGAAGGTTTTTCATTACCGCTTGTATCTCATTGCTAGTTATTCGTCTGTTTAGATTTTCTATGTCCTTGATTTAGTTTTGGCAGATAATAGGTGTCTAGAAATTCATGCATTTCTTCTGGGTTTTCCAATTTATTGGAGCATAACCTTTCAAAATAGTCCTTAATGATCTACTGAATTTCTGTGATGATTTCTCCTTTTTTATCTCTAATTTTATTAACTTGGGCTTATCTATCTTGTTTATCTTTTCAAAGAACCAACTTTTTTTCATTGATCCCATGGATTTTTTTTTTTAATCTCAATTTCACTGACTTCAGCTCTGATCTTAATTATTTCTCTCTTTTTTTGCCTACTGATTTTGGCTTGGTTTGTTCTCATTTTTAAGGGCATTGATGTGTTTTTTATTGGGGAATTTTCTGATTTTCTTATATAGGCACCCACAGTTATAAACTTTCCTCTTAGAACTTCCTTTATGGTGTTCCTGATGCTTTGGAATATTATATTTTCATTTGAGTCTAAGAAGTTTTTTTTGTTTCTCCCTTGATTTTTTTTCTATCACCCATTCATCATTAAAAAGTGTATTGTTTAATCTCCATGTGTTCATATAGTTTCTGTTTTGTTAATTTATAATTTCATTTCATTATGATCTGATAAGATACAAGGAATTATACCCTTTTTTGATATTTGTTCAGAGTTGCTTTGTGGACTAAAATCTGGTCTATTTTGGAGAATGTTCCATGTGCTGCAGAGAAGAAAGTGTTCTCAGCTCCTGTTGGATAAAATGTTCTATAGATGTCTGTTAAGTTCCTTTGGTATAATATGTTTTCAGGTTCAAAGAGTCTCTACCAGGTTTATATCTGAATAACCTATCTAACGGTGAGAGAGTTGTGTCGAAATCATCTAGAATTATCGTACTGGTGTCTATCTGAGGCTTCAATTTGAGTTGGGTCTTATTTATGTAATTAATTGTGACCATGTTTGGGCTATAAATTTATTATTATTATTTATTATTATTATTATTATTATTATTATTATATCTTTTTCTTAGATTGTTCTCTTTACCAGTATGAAGTAGCCTTCTTTGTCTCTTCTGATTAGATTTGGTTTGAAGTCTGCCTCATTTGACAAAATTCTTGTACATTAAAAATAACCAGATTAATCCCCACAGACAGACTACCTGCTTATTTTCTAGGAAAACAGGTTCAGAAGCTCTAAATATTCTCATGGGGGTAAACTTCAGAGGCCTTTATTTTGTATAATTATCTCTACACTGCCACATATTCACCTCCAAAATCCCAACATGAGTCAAAATTAACTATTTTAAAAAGAAAACTTTACATAAGTGCTTCATTGGACATTTATTCACCTGAATGACAATCATTGTGAGCACATTCAGGCCTTCTTCTGACCTAAGGATTTACTAGAGTGAGCTCTCAGCCATAGTCAGGGAGATACTCAAAGATAAAAATCATGATGATATACTTTAAAACAGCAAACTTCTACAGGAGATTTTTTAGGCCTCCTTTTGTTCTATTTAAGACACACTTCTGTGATTATGGGAGAAACATTACCTTATCACATTTAATATACAATTGAGGAGGAGACAAATGACTGTTTCAATGAAACAGAAATAACTAATGTTAGATTTAGAAGTTGATTCATAATAATGTTCTTTTCTCCATTTTCCCATGTTTTAGAGAACTTGGAACCTTTTGACTGTCACCTGAGACAGAAGTCCACTAATACTACTGTCCCATAATTCATGGCTGATTTTGTGATTTCAGTCTCCCTATTCTGGACTGATTGTTATTTTTCCTCCAGAAAACTGGTAAGCTCTGTATTCCATTGATATTTTGGTAAGATGTGTAATGAACGTAAAGGCTGTGGGGAAGACATACAAACCATGACTTATCTTAAAAGAGAAATAGAGGTTTCATTATGTTTAAAAAATATGCGTAAGAGCACAGCATAAATACAAAACTCCAAAGAAGAGGAAGTTTAGAGTTCCTTAGGGCAAATTATCTTGTATCTTAAAAAATATGAACAAAAATATAAAACACATGATGCTCTGATTGATTCAGTTATACTTTCTTCTCATATTATCTTCTCATTATTGGTAACAAATAAACAAATGCTCAGAAGAGTGAAATGGTCCTGTTTTAAGCTACACAATGGTCCTAAATAAATTACCAATGTCTGAACTGCATGGTAACCTCCTCCTATAATCCCATGATTACTACTGCTAGCACCTTTACACATGTGGACAGCGATGTGGGTAAGAGCATAGACTTTTGGTTAGGTTGAAGGAGCAAAAAATCTCTTGAATATATCACCTACTAACTGTGCAATTTTAGATATTACATAACTTCTCTAATTTTCAATTTTCTAAAAATAAAATAAGAATAATAATTCCACCTGCCCCTCCCCAACACATTTATATGTAAAGTCCTTTCCACAGGTTGTAGAACAGAGTGTATGTTAAAGGTGGACCTGGGTATTAAAAGTCTGCAGTAAATGTGTTCAGGGGTTGACTTGTAAAGTGCAGTTGCCAGAGATTTTGAAGTTTAAGGGTAGGGAATAGTGGTTAGTATTGGGTGAATATCTTTTATAAACTACATCTCGAATAAAGAAACTTAAAATACTGTTACTACATGAGAACAGACTTAAATAAAGCACTTTAGAATGTTGGACTTGCCACCCAAAAAGATCAGACAGCCCATAAAACGGAAATCTTCCAGTGTTTCTCTCTGTGCTTTGGCTATGGCATGACAGTAATGAAAGAGCAAGTTTAAGAAAAATGAATTCTTTTTCCAAACTGAAATGTGAATTTTAAGGAAGAAATTTTAAAAAGAAACGGCTCACATGGAACTGCAAGAGCAGTAATCACACACCTGGAGTAAGGACTGGCTGAGAAATACAGAGAACACAGAAAACCTCATAGCCCCAAGGGGGAAGAAAAGGCAAGCTGAAGAGAGAAGCTTCAAGACTTTCAACTCATCCACAACTGAAGCCCTGCACTCAGCATATACCTTGATCCAAACTTATTTAATTCTTACGGTGATACCTGAAAGTGGATCTCATAACTGGCTTCATTTTGCAGATGGAAATAGGATTTTCATGGAGTTAAGTTAGGACCAAGGATGGTAAGATTGATATGTGTCTCTTCCAAGAACCTAAGCTCCACATCTACTCAATCTGGTGATGGAGCTTCTCAGAATTGCTGTGCAGTTGGGACATTTATACCACCACTTCTGTGCATAGGGATGTGCTATGATGATTCAGGAATTAGACTTATCTTTGATCTTCACTTTTAACCACACAATTGTCAATATGTGTTCATGAGCTATTGATATCAACCATGAGATTGTGGGAAAAAATAAAAATGCAGTTCAAAGCTTATTAATTCATTTGGAATCTTTTTGGTTGAACTGGTCATTTCACTCATGGTTGGTTGTCATCTTGTTTGTTTCTCCTCTAAGGAGAGTCAAATAGAGTGACAAAGATGAAATGATCACCTACTGAATCACTCAGTTCACTATGAAACCTGAGACACTGAGTTTGGAACAAAGGAGCCAAGGAGCAATTGTAAATGTATTAATTACAACTTGATTCAAATTCAGTTTAGAGCATTAGACTTAGAAACCAGTAAACATTAGTTAAATGTTGGCATGGGCCAAGGTAGAGACTGACTTACAATAACTGTCTAAATATGAATAAATTTCTAAACCTCTTGTTCTTAATGTGCATGAGTGTAGCAAATTCCTAACATTGTTGAGAGGAGACAGAGAATGCACATCTAAATTGTCCTTGTCAGTTCTTGACAGTTGAGGAACATGTAGGTTTTTCAGTATTTTCTTGGCTCAGGGGACATGGATGGGCTGATAGATTCATCCATATGAGTCATTTGTTCAAGTTATTAAATCGAGTACATCTTAGAAACAATTTATAAAATTTTAAATTGGACAGATGATTCATAAAATTTCTTCACATTCATAACATTTAATTCCATGTGTAATTAATGATTCAAATTTGTTTTTCAATCCCATGCTTTTTCTGAAGAAACTCAAAAGCAGAAGTAGTGGGACAAAGAAATAATATATCTTCAACTTTTACTTTCCAACTTCATTAATTTTGTTGTAATTTTGTTCACTTTTTGTCATGGCTATAGAACATCTAGAGATTCTCAAACAACAATGATGAAAACAGGACAGAAGTGTACATGCTTAAAGCGCTAAATTTGATTTTCAAGCCCATTTTTTTTTTTTTCTGGAGAATCTCAAAGTACACAGTTGTAGCCACAGTGAAAAAATATCTTGCACTTAAACTTTTTCATTCAGTTGAATTCCTTTATTATTTTGTTTTTCATGTTTTCCTCATGGCTGTAGAAGATCTAGTGAATCTCAGATAACCTTGATGGAGAACAGGACAGAAGTGACACACTTCATCCTGCTGGGACTGACCAAGGACCCAGGTCTGCAGCTTCCCCTCTTTGTGACCTTCCTCCTCATCTACACTATCACTCTGGCTGGGAACCTGGGGATGATCCTGCTGATTCTTTTGGACTCCCATCTCCATACTCCCATGTACTTTTTCCTGGGTAACCTGTCTCTGGTGGACATTTGCTACTCTTCGGCTGTCACTCCTACAGTCATGGGTGGGCTTCTTCCTGGAGATGAAGTCATCTCCTACAATGCTTGTGCTGCTCAGATGTTCTTTTTTACAGGTTTTGTTACTGTGGAAAATTACCTCTTATCCTCAATGGCCTATGATCGCTATGCAGCAGTGTGCAAGCCCTTGCACTACACCACCACCATGACAACACATGTGTGTGTGTGTCTAGTATTAGGTTGCTATGTCTGTGGATTTTTGAGTGCCTCCATCTATATTGGGGACACATTCAGTCTTTCATTCTGTATGTTCAATGTGGTCCATCATTTCTTCTGTGATATTCCAGCAGTCATGGCTCTCTCTTGTTCTGGTAGACAAGTGAATGAGCTGGTTCTTGTTTTTGTAGCCAGTTTTGTTATCTTTTTTGGTCTGATTGTTATCTTAATATCCTACATATTCATTTTTATCACTATCCTAAAGATGCGCTCAGGTGCAGGACATAGGAAGGCTATGTCTACCTGTGCCTCCCACTTCACAGCAGTCTCCATTTTGTACAGCACTGTTATCTTCATGTATTTAAAGCCCAGCTCCAGTCATTCTATGGACAGTGACAAAATTGTTTCTGTGTTTTACACTATGATCATCCCCATGCTCAACCCTGTGGTCTACAGTCTGAGGAATAAGGAGGTCAAGATTGCATTCTCAAAGATTGTTTTGGAGGCAAAATAATCTCTTGGATTTTGATTTATACATTCTGGGATACACATTTTCTGGATTTATTCCTCTCAGAACTTTTCCAAGTAAAGTATCACATTTTAAATGCCACACTAAATTCAAATTTCTTAAGTGATAATTTTACTTCTGCAGACTGTCTAGAAAAAAAAGAAACATTATATCCAGAATCATAACATCTGAATGAGAATATTTATGATAAGTTGGATCTTCTTGTCAAACCCCTATTAAAATGTTTGATATATCCAATAATTTTTCATGCAATTAAAAAAAAAACACTTATCAATGCAAATATATGTATAATGAATGCATAAAGAACTCCACAAACAAGCAAATTGCATGCAGTTGTCCAATGAGGACATCTACACCTGGTTGTGACAAATTTTCCAGAATTAAATGTAAAATGTCTTTGTTTGCAGTTAATTTTGTTGTTAATTTTTCTATATTAAGAGATACCCAGATAACCAGCAATAGTTTTCTTTGTGTGTCTGTGAGGATACTTATTAACATGTGTGGGGGAAAATACAAAGAGACACAGAGACAAGATGCAGAGGCAGGAAAGATGGCTGCTCAACCAAGTTTATTTATACCGATAGGTTACATTAGGTCATCAGTCATGACTACATAATTGTTTATTATATCAGTAAGGTTGCATATTCCACAATTACATTCTTCAGTTAAAATATGCAATGTTAGGAGCTTTATGCATTCTCAAGAAAGTCCGTTGTTTAAAGTTACTGTTAAATGGACAGGTTCAGGCACAGTGGAGCTTGGTGAAACATGGTTTTCTAACAAGAGAGTTTCTTCATTCCCAGGAGCTGTGTGCCTGAGATCAAGGTCAAGGCTGATTAGACTGTAGCACAGAGCCTCCTCATGAAGGGAATTGCTACAGCAGCCAGGCATTCTGCGTTTTTGCACATGAAGCTTCCCCAGCCACCAAGCATGCCACAGTCATGAAGCCATTAGAGACCCCAATCCCAAACACAGAACCCCTTACAAAAAAGACTACTGTTTGAGTGATAACTTAGGAAAGAAGGTTTGCCTTCGTTATTGTGTGTGACCATCATCTAGTCATTGAGGGTTTGCATGTAGAACAAAAATAGGGAAAGAGCAAATTGTTTCCGTTCTCTCCCTTAGGTGGTTCACCCAGGCTTTCTCACTCTTGGACCTCAGAGTCTCAGGATCTATTTTACAAGACTTACACAGGCACACCTCTGCACCCTCTTTCTCAGGTCTTTGCACTCACACTGTGTTACACACCCAGCCTTTCTGGTTCCTGACTTACAGGTAGCAGAGCTGGCACTGATTTATTTCCACAGTCACATGATCCCATAGCCACAATAAATCTCCTCTTGCGTGTGTTTCCATATCCTGCTGGTTGTTTCCCTGGGGGTCTCTGACCTATAGACTAAAGCTTAATATAATTTTCAATTTGTGTATTTCAATATAAATTTATATATAGCATTTTTATCTTTTCCTATTACTGTAAGAGTCTGAATTGAAGAAAACATTATTTTTGTTTATTTATCTTTAATGTTTTTGTTAGTGAATCACAGTTAAACATAACAGGTGGATTCTTTTTTGACATAATCATACATGTATGGAATACAGTTTGCTCTATTTTTGTTCCCAGTACTTCTTTTTTCCTGCAGGTCTTCTTTCTCCCTATTTCTGCTATTTTACTGGTCTTCCTCCTATTTAGTTATTGTTTTTTTCACAGGTGTTTTATAGATACACAGAAAAGCAAAATTCACTGTGGTATAGGTATATATGTGCTTAGTATAATTTGGTCAATTTCATTCCACAGTTACTCCCTTCTCCAGTCCCTCCTCCCTTTCCATCAATCTCTATTCCTCTTATCTTTGCCCCCTCTCCCTATTTTCATGGAATTCCCTCTCCTTGATTTTTTATTTTTATTTTTCTCTAGCTTTCACATATGACAGAAAAGTCAACCCTTGACTTTCTGAGTTTCGCTTATTTCACGTAGACTGACGTTCTCTAGTTCCATCCATTTACCAGCACATGTCATTATTTTATTCTTCTTTATAACTAAGTAAAAGTCCATTATGTATATATATACCACATTCTCTTTATCCACTCATCTCTTGATAGGGACCCAGGCTGATTTCATCGACTGAACTGGCGATCATTATGTCAAGTGATTTAGCCAGACTAACATACAGTTAAAGAATAATATCACCCACGTGTAGAAACTTGAAAAGTTGATTTCAACGAGGTTGATAATTGAATAGTGGTTACCAAAGGCTGGAGAGAGTAGGGGGTGAGATGGAGGGAGAGGGAAAGTTTGAGGAGCTCAACATGTTCAACCTGATTTAAATATTACACAATTTGTGCATGTGTAGAAAAATCTCATGGTGCCTAATCAATATATACAATTTTTAGGTTTTAATTTATAGATTAGAACTAAATTTAATTTTTAAAATGAAATAACCAGCTCAATCCCTATAGGCATGTTAATTGCTTTTTTAGGGAAGCAGGATGAAGAGCTGCAGAAAGTCTCATGGGAAAAATCTCCAGAGGTCTCCAAGTCTGTATAATACTCTCCAGGTCTGCATGTATGAGCCTCTGGAATCCCAGTGACTCAGCAGCACATTGTTTCAGAGGGGGCCCCTGCATGCTATGCCCCCCTGGTCATCACTTATTCATCTCAAGAGTAATAATTTGTTATTCTTGCGGCTTGAGGATTTGCTATGACCCCTCAGATATGATCAAAGAAAACATTGATAACAGGTTCTATGATTAATCTTTAAATATTATTCACTGTGTGAGACATTTATAAACCTAATTTGATTCTTATTTATAATTACTAGCTGTGAACTATGGAGGAGAGTGATCTGATATTATTTTATACAGGAGGAGGAAGTAAGGGTACAGAAAGAATCTATGGTAGATTTAGAACTTGGTCCTTGTTAATTCTATTTTTTTTTTGTTAATGCGTTACAGTTATGCATAATATTGGAGTTCATTTTTGCATAATTATACAAGCATGGAATATAGTAAATGTGTTCAGCGGTTGACTTGTAAAGTGAGGTTGCCAGAGACTTTGAAGTTGAAGGGTAGGGAATAGTGGTTAGTATTGGGTGAATATGTTTTCTCCATTTCAGTCCCCAGTTCTTCCCCTTCCCTCTCTCAGACCTCTACTCTGCTGGTCTTCCTTCTATTTAGTTATAATTTTTAAAGTAATAGCTGATAGATGTCCATAAAGGTGGAATGCACTGTGACACATTCACGTGTAGACAGCATAATTTGTTCTGCTTTGTCGCACTGTTCCTCCCTTACTTACCTCTCCTCATGTTTTCCTGCCTTAGGGAATTCAGAACCTTTGCTCACTGCTGGAAAGAGACCTCCTGTGACAGCACTTGTGGAATTTTCCATTGCTGAGTTTCTAATTTCAAACCCACTACTCTGGGCTGGCTGTTCTTTCACTTCCAGCAAAGAGGTAAGCTCTATATTCCCTAAACATTCCAGTGAGAAGTGAAAGCCAGGCAGAAGCAGCGGGCTACCTGTGCCTGCTGTGAGTTATTTAAAAGCAGAAAGAAATGTTCTCAGAATGTTTCTAAAAACTAAGGCGAGTCTATGTGCAAACATCAAAACGTCTATCATGGGAACCTTAGTGATTCATAGAACAAACCTTGCTTCTTTCTCAAAAAGACGTGAGCAAACCAAAACAGATGAAGCTTTGATTGATTAGGGACTTTATCTCGTTCACTCTATATCTGGATGTCATCAAAGCTTAAAATGCTACCTGATCCATCATTTCCTTAGTTCACTGAGGAATCTCAAACAGAGATTAAACCAAGTAGACCAGGGGTTGTTGCAAATTGAGTAAATTCAGTTGGATTTAAATTCAGCGTAGAACATTATACATAGAAACCACTTACTATGGGTTACAGTTTGGCCTGGGTTCAGAGCAGAGATGAGCAAATAATACTTGCGAGAATAAGACGAAAAGTCTCAACTTTGTGTGCTTTATAGTTCACATGAGTTTAACAAGTAATTAAACTCAAAATATTGGTGATAGGAGACCATGAATACACGTACACTGTGCCTACAGCAGTTCTTGGCAGCTGATCAACAAAAATCAGTTACTCTGACTGTGCTTAGCCAAGACACAAGTCTTTTTAGCCAAGTATTAAATTGTGGATGGGTTAGTAAACAAATGCATAGAATAGTAAAATAGGGTAAACTATTTGGGTACAAGTCCATGCATTTCCTGGAGAATCTTGATGTAAAATGAAAAAATGCATCTTATACTTTCTGATTCAATTCAATGCTTTAACATTTGATTCCCTTTTTCTCAAGACTGTAAACCAACTAGAGATTCTCAGATATCATTGATGGAGAACAGGACAGAAGTGACACACTTCATCCTGCTGGGACTGACCAAGGAGCCAGGTCTTCAGCTTCCCCTCTTTGTGACCTTCCTCCTCATCTACACCATCACTCTGGCTGGGAACCTGGGGATGATCCTGTTGATTGTCTTGGACTCCCGTCTCCACACTCCCATGTACTTTTTCCTGGGTCACCTGTCTCTGGTGGACTTGTGCTACTCTTCAGCTGTCACTCCCACGGTCATGCCTGGGCTTCTTCCTGGAGACGAGGTCATCTCCTATGGTGCTTGTGTTGCACAGATGTTCTTTTTTACAGGTTTTGCTACTGTGGAAAATTTCCTGCTGGCCTCAATGGCCTATGATCGCTATGCAGCAGTGTGCAAGCCCCTGCACTACACCACCACCATGACGACACGTGTGTGTATTGGGCTGATCGTAGGCTGCTATGTCTGTGGCTTTTTGAGTGCCTCAGTCTACACGGGGAACACGTTCATTCTCTCTTTCTGCAAGAACAATGTGGTCCATCATTTTTTCTGTGATATTCCAGCAGTTATGGCTCTCTCTTGCTCTGATAGACAGGTCAATGAGTTGATTCTTATTTATGTAGCCAGCTTCGATATTTTTGTTGCTCTCCTTGTTATCTTAATTTCCTATATATTGATTTTTATCACCATCCTGAAGATGCACTCAGGTGCAGGACACCAGAAGGCTATGTCCACCTGTGCCTCCCACTTCACTGCCATTTCTATTTTCTATGGTACGATTATCTTCATGTATTTACAGCCCAGATCCAGTCATTCACTGGATACTGCCAAAATCACATCTGTATTCTACACTTTGGTCATTCCAATGTTGAACCCTATGGTCTACAGCCTACGGAACAAAGAGGTAAAGAAGGCTTTCACAAAGATTGTCTTGGAGGGAAAATAATCTTTAAAAACAGTGTGACATTACTGTTTGTGATACACAGCACCTTTACTGAGCCCTCTCAGATATTTCCACTTATTAAGTCACATTTTAAAAAATATTGTAAATATAGTTCTTGAAGTGATATCCTTGTCTTCAAAATTCTGAAATCTAGACCAACTGAAACATTATATTCAGAATTTAATACTTGAATAAAAATATTTATGATATCTTGGTTGTGTTAGTGGAAATCCTTTTTGATTATTCCATCTTTTTCCATGCAAGTTTGTCCTTAAAAATGTATGTGCAATAAATACACATATATGCCCATGTGCTGTAGATGAGGACATCCTCCAATATATTTGGTAAATTTGTTGGAATTAAATGCAAATGGCTACTTATTTATTTGTTATTTTTTTTCTGGATAAAGAAATATCCAGACAGCTGGAGAAACCTTTTTCTTGGGAGTATTTCCAAACAGAGTACTTTTGAGGCAATAAACTTAACAAAGAATATCTTTTCTCATCAGTTTGGATAGCCACCATCCAACTCATTGAAGACTCACCTTATCAGAACAAATAGGCGAAGAAAGGAAACAATTCCCCCCCCTCCCGCCCCGTGTCTCTTCTTTAACTTGGATATGCATGCTCTCATTCTTGGGCATCAGAGCTACTTGCTCTCAGAACTTTGGTCTCCGAGAGTCACACTAGCCACACTTCATCTCCCCACTTTCTCAGGCCATTGAAGGCAGCCTGGATTAACCCCCCAGACTTCCTGTTTCTCTGGCTGTAGAGAGCAGAGCGTGGTGGCCCTTGTTGGATTCCAGGAGCACATGGTCCTACAGCCATTGTAAACTTACACTCCTTTGTGTACAGGTACCTTTTTAATTCTTTCCCTGGAGAACCCTGACTAGAAGATGAGTGTTTGTTAATCATAACTCAATATTTAATTTTGAATTAAAATATTAATTCATCTAAAATATTTTAAAATTTCTTTCCTTGCAATTCCAAGCATCCTGATTTGAGAAAAAGATACGACATGTTATTGAATGAAAATATGTCCTCTTAATTACACATTTTAACAAGAGACATAATTCTGGCACCTCATATGAATTAATAAACAAGCAATATCTTCATGTTTCAATTTTCTAAAGGATAAAGTAGTCAAATATCAGAAATTGCAGGAAAAATAATAATATTTTGCTGTATCTATATATTAACTCCATTTATAGATTTTTGATTACACTGAAAGCCAATAATGTACATGCTTGCACATACTTTGAAATTTTTAATGTGGTCTATTCTTTTCTTCCTTTAGTTGATTTAAACTCTCTCATTGCTCCCTAGCCTTTCCTTACTTTTTTCTCTCAGTTCTCTATTCACAACTCCAAGCATGCTCAAGCCTCAGGGCCTTTGCATTTGCTGTTTCCTGTGTGGACTGTGCTTTCATTTCAGGTCTTTGAAGAAATGTTACCTGTCATAGTGTCCATCCCTGACCACCTTTATAAAATGTCACTTTCTGTTCATCACCTACAATACAATCAAAATTCTAGTTCAAAGCACTCTATTCATGCTTTTAGCTTTGACTCTCAGGGAGTTTGATATTATTCAATATTAACCACAGGAAGGTGCCTGCATGTGTAATTTCTTATCACTGCACAGTAGGGGGATTCAACATGATTGGGACTGAATGTGCAAAGATGGTCATGAGCTGGTACTTGTGGAATCAGTGTAATGCAACACAAACATTCACTTCTGCATGTATGGTGACATTTCACCTATTGAATGTATTTCAAATTATTGTTTTAATTATTATTTAATATCAGAATGACTTTGGATTTATGGAAAAATTTCACAGGTAGCACAATGTCTAAAATGTATTGTATTATGACAGGCAAATATTTATATGCTAATTTCTAAAACCTTTCAATATTAATCTCTGGGGCCTACAATGACTTTGCAGATATGACTAGTAAAGAATTTCAAAAGTGAGAGATCATCAGGAATATCCTTGGGCCTCCAAGTCAATCTTATATATCTTCATAAATCCTTCGGGCTCCATGTCAATCCCATATCTCTTCATAAATGGGAGTCTGAAAGATTTCATTACATACAAAAGAGGAGTCAGCAATGTGAGCGCTCAAGCAAGAATGATGTAGTGAAACTGGAATTCGTGTAATGTAGTAGCCACCAGAGGATGAAAATGTAATGTGCTCCAGAGATTATAAAGGACAATGGCTCTGACACCTTTGATTTCAGTTCTATGAGATTGATTTCAAACTTCTAATTTCCAGAACTGTAAAAGAATCAATACGAGTTGTTGTAAGCCTCAAACTTTGCAATAATTTGTTATAGCAGCCAGGTGAAACGTTTACAAACTCACATCTGTTTTTTTTTTTCCTCATATTGTCATATATTACTACTGAACGTGAATTTGGAAGAAATTTTTTAAAAAATGAAACCATCTGTTTCTAGGGATTTTTGTTTTGGGGAGATCATTTGTTATCAATTCATTTTTTTCTTCCTGTGATAGGTGAATTTAGATTTTCTCTTTCTCTGGAGTCCGTTTTGGTAGTGTGTATCTTTCCAGGAATTTTTATTTTATCTATATTACCCAATATGTTAGTGTACAGTTGTTCATATTCAGCTCCTCCCTCATGGCAGCCAGGATGCAAAGACTGGGAAGTGGCTGTGGAAGAATAAATGATTCAAAGGCCCCACCAACTAAAGTTTCCACCACCTCCCAATATCACCTTCAACTGGGAATCAAGCCTTCAACACACCTGCCATGTGTATACATTCCAGATTTAAACAATAACAACTAACAAATTAGCAAATAAAAATTATACAACCATCATTACCTTTTATCAACTTGGTACTTATACCATCTCTTTAGAATATACAATCTGAAAAAAAAATAGCAAAGACATTAATCTACCTAAAATATTACTGTCCTGAGTACAACCCCAAACATATGGATGTTTCCATATTAGAGGATGCAAAGGAATTAGATAATGTTCACTTTTATTCTTCATATACTATATAAACAATACAGTATTTAAATAATATGTTAGCTTTTTGTAGTTGTGACTAAAACATCTACCAAGATGAGGAAAAGTTTATTTTGGACTCAGAATTTCAGCCCATGGTCAGCCAATTTTATTGCTCTGGGATTGAATTGAGGCAGAATATCATGGCAGAAGGTGTGACAGAGGAAATCTGCTCAGCTCACAACAGCTGGGAAGTGTAGAAAGACTGACAGGAAGGGGACTTGGACATGATATACTCCCCAAGGGCACATCTTCAGAATCTAACTCCTCCATCTATGCCCATCTACTCACAGCTGCCATCCAAATAGTCCATTCAAATCATTAATCCACTAAATGGATTAATCCACTGATGAGATTACAACCCTCATAATCAGTCTTTTCACCACTGAATATTTATGATTGCATAATACATGGGGCCATTCCTAGATCTAAACTATAACCAATTCTGTGGTCTGAAGTCAACACATCCAATGATTCATGATAATGCTATAAGTGAGGAAATATAATAAATACATTTTGATAAATGTGTGCATTCATTAAAAATGAGGAAATACTCATGATAATGATGATTCTCATTTCTTCCTCACTTGTATGTATTCATAACTGTTACTCATACTACCTACTTCTACTACCCTTCTTCTTCATATTTTTTTTACTTCCTTTATATTCAGCAAAAAATTGTGCTGGTCATGGGTCTTTACCTGGTGGGTTGATCAACATATTTTCTCTGAAAGGGTCTGGGAAATTAATACCCCATTGTGAATCGAGCTGTTATAGCCTTTCATTAAATCTGATCACCTGGAATGGCAATGACAATGGAATCCAAAGTATCTCGTATATTTGAGATATTATCTTCTTTTCTTCCCTTTTTGAAATAGTAGTCTAGTGTCTACACATTAGCTAGGATAAGTCAAAGCCAGAACTGTAAATCTGTTGTTGAGTCATTCTGGTTTGTTTGGGATGGTGTGTTCCCTTGCATTTCCCATTTGTTTTTCTTTAGTGGCTGATCCAGAGGCAGTATAAACCCTAAAAAGATAAGCAGCAAAAATAATTCAATAGCACCCTTGTATATCTATCACCTGGTAAAATATTCCTCCAGCCATTGATGTCACTCCCATTTTCACCCATTGATTCCTGGAGTCAAGAATCCTGGCAATTAGAGAAAAAGAACCGTGTTTTGTCTGATTCAGAGTTTATGCAGTCTCCTGGGGAACTTTGCTATACGCCAAAATATTTCTCCAGTTGGAATTGTAATTGTGATCTCAAAAGCCTTTAAGGCTTTATTTCAAGTCAATTGCTTCAGGATGATGGGAGACACATAATTCACTAGTAAATTATAAGATTGTGGAGCCATTTCCCCACTTCTTTCCTGCAAAATGAGTTACTTGGTCAGAATCATTACTGTGTGGAATATCATGGTGATGTATTGATGTCTTTCTGTAATACATGAATGGTAGTCCTCATTTTGAATTAAGCACAGAAGGCAAACTTTAGTTCATAGTGTCGTTTCTAGTAATAACAAAATGCTACCCTTTGATGATGGACATGATTCAATGTCATTAACTTTCTACCAGATAACTGGCTGATCACTTCAAGGAATGTTGCCATGTCATGGACTCAGTGTTGGTCTCAGCTCCTGGTAGCTTCAGCATTCAGCTGTGGCTGTGGTCAGGCCTTCTTTTGTTTTGAGGAAGCCAAACCAAATTCTTTTTATGTGCCTCCTATTCATAAAGCTTCATCTCTACCACAAAGGCCACTTTAGTCATTATCCTATGGGACAACAGCAGAAGTGATTGATAAGAGACCAACTGGTATCCACAAAATAAATCATCTTATCCACTGGATTATTAAATTTCCCCAGTCCATATATACCTTTTTCATGGACAATGTCAGTAGACCTAGTATGTTCGAGGTTTTAGTGTATTTAGAAAATCTTTCCATAGAACTCACCTCCAAATTTCTATCTCACCAGTAT